CGCCATGCATCCATCGTTCATCTGCTCGCTTTGGTTTCCGAAAGGCGTGCTCTCACGCAAAGCTTCTCGGGTCTCTCGAGACCTCCCGCATAGTCGTTCCGAATCTAGCAGCACCGATTGTGTGTTCTGCCATCACCACATCGTCACACATCAATTTCACTCACACTCGGCGTTTCTGACATTACATTTGACTACGCATGTCATCGCCCCTGCGTCGCCTTTCGCAGCAGACCAGACACCTCGCAGCTCAAGCAGCTCCTCTTGTTTCAAGCTCTGCCACCATGTCGGACTTCAAGGTGCGCCAGGTCGGTGCTCCCAACACACTCGGTGAGTCATGCGCGGCGTTGTAGAAGGTGAAGAACTCCGCTTTGATGGATCAACAGCTCACATGCTGCTGCTACTGGCTGGTGCCGCTGCCAGATTACCGCGTCTTCTTCGAGGATGGCCAAAAGAAGCCCATTTCCCCTTTCCACGACATTCCCCTCTTCGCCAACGAGGCCAAGACGGTCCTGAACATGGTTGTCGAGATTCCTCGCTGGACCAACGGCAAGCTCGAGATTTCCAAAGAGGAGACTTTGAACCCAATCAAGCAAGATGTCAAAAAGGGCAAGCTACGCTACGTTCGCAACTGCTTCCCTCACCACGGTTACATTTGGAACTACGGAGCCTTCCCGCAGACTTGGGAGGACCCTTCAGCTACGCACCCCGACACCAAGGCCAAGGGTGACAATGACCCTCTCGATGTGTGCGAGATCGGAGAGCAGGTAGCATACACCGGTCAAGTCAAGCAGGTCAAGGTCCTGGGTGTGATGGCTCTTCTCGATGAGGGAGAGACGGACTGGAAGGTTCTCGTCGTCGACGTCAACGACCCTCTCGCCTCTAAGCTCAATGACATCGAGGACGTTGAGCGCCACCTCCCTGGTCTCATTCGCGCTACCAACGAATGGTTCCGCATCTACAAGATCCCCGACGGAAAGCCCGAGAACCAGTTCGCCTTCTCGGGAGAGGCTAAGAACAAGGTGAGCGGTAGTTCTGTTTACTCCAAGTAGACCGATACTGTAGCTGACGGCTGCCTTTGCACTCGT